TATAACGCGCTCCGACCGTGCTGCGGACATGCGGTGAGAGAGTGGTGCCCCTCTCCTTAGGTCGGACATGTCCTCCTACGGTCAAACAAATACCCCCAAATGGTCAACAATAGTCGAAGAATCGTCCCCAGACTATGTTTTGTTTAAACTATTGTTAAATCTTCCTCCTGTGCATTCAAGACGCTGACATACGGAGCAGCTTGGGTTCGGAAGGGGCTCGATGTTCCTTAGGCCCCTCCAGTGCCGTTCCTCCTGCCCTCTTGGGGGGCACGGAGGCGCTTACGGGTCCAAGAAGGGGCTTCCTTCCTCAGTTAGCGTTCCTTCTTTCGGCGGCCCGACTGTAAAGGGACAGGCCCGACTTGACCCTCTCCTGCTGCTTCCTCCACTTCGGAGACGCGCACCCTCGGAGGGGACCGACAGGGCGCCGCTGCCGCAGCTGCAAGCGGGCGCCCGCGCTGCGGGCGTCTGCGCGGTGCAGTGGTGGATCAGGGGCAGCCGCGGCCGAGCTCTCCGCAGCAGGAGTAGGGCGAAGCTAGGACGAGGATAGCTCAAAAGGCCCAAGGACACACATACACACACATAAATACACACAAATAAAATGATTCCGTGGATTTCCCCATATTTTCTGGGTTTTCGTCTTCCCCCCCACTTGCCATATTCTCCCATATTTTTCTGGGAGTCGACGATTAATTGTGTCTGCGTGTTTTTTCCCCTCCTGAATAACATCTGGCAGGGATGAATCGAGAATCTCTGATATCCGGCGGACCTGGAGGATGTCTCGGGCGCCACGGCCTTCCCAGGGCGTTCCGAAACGCTCTGACAGCGTTCTGGAACGCTCTGGGACGGATTCATCCTCATCCTGGGCGCGTCCGAGCGATGGGGGAGAAGGAGCAGAACGAGACGGGAGGAGAGAGTCCAGTCCACCGGCCCGGCCCTCTGGGCCGTGAGTGGTCTGAAGAGCTCGTTCTGCTAACCTCCCCCTCTTGCCCTTCGGGGAGAGGTGCTTCCCCCTCCCCCTGGGCCTGGAACCTTCCCCCCGATCGGTGTCAGAGGGCTCTGTTGGCCCCTAGGTGGCAACCAAGAGGGTCCCAAGAGAGCCCAACACGGCCTCCACGATCACTCAAGATATCCATCAGATGGTTCAACCTAGCCTCCCACATGCGTCCAAGAACTCTCAAGATCACCCCAGGACGGCCCCCAGCGCCCTCCGAGCCTCGCAAGGAGGCTCCCGGGAGGCCCGACTCCTTGAGAACCAATGCGTGTTCCCAATGAGGTTGTTGCTTTCTCGAGCCACGCGCATCCGAGCGCATCCGACAACTTACGTCATCCTATCTTCCCACCTGCATCATAGCAGGTTGCATTCCTTCTCCTCGACTGTCTCTCAAATTCCATCCTGCGCGATGGCTTCGCCTGCCAGGACACGTGGAAACACCCGCCAGCCAGGTGCTCCGCTTGGTGGGAAGCAGGACGTGCGGCGGAGGCTCTTCAGTCCATTGAACGAAATGGATGGGGCTGACAGGAGCACCACATCGGCACGCCTGACACCCCAGCAGGCGCCCAGCAGCAGGCGCCGACCCTTCAGGAGATCGCGAACATGTTCCGGCAAGAGGTGACCCCGCTTCAGCGCGCCATCTCTGACCTCGAGAAAAAAGTCACCGGAATGGGCGGCATAGGGGAATCTGGTTAATTTCGAGACTCGCATCGCGGACCTTGAGAAACAGAACGCTAGCATGACGACCCCCCCCCCGGTCTGGTTGTACGGCGAAAGCAGAGATTTGGGAGCAGCTCAAGGCCTTGGCGCTGCAGATCGCCACGCTGAAGGTTTGGGGATTCCGGTCGTGCCGATAACAAGGCAGAGAGGGACAAGACCTTGGTCATCGGCGGCCTGCAGTCGTTCGACGGGGTGGAGGAGGTGAAGGAGTGGGCGTCGAACAAACTTTGGGACGCTTTCGGGCCCCAGCCCCAAGACACCTACACCAAAGGAAATTTCCGGGGCATTGCTTTCCTGAAATTTCTGTCCAATGATCGTTCAAAGAAGGGGGAAACAATATTTGGGCGACGCCTGACGAAGTCCTCTCGGAACGTATCCTTTCTTTGTTTATTTGTGGAGTGAAACACATTCTCAGAGAATGGAGGTACGAGTCCGAAGCCGTGTGGGCCGACCCAGAGGAAGGCAAAATCTGGGTGGGCGATGTCGTCGCTGTTCGCGGGCACGTCGATGAGGACACGCTATCCGTGGACTATATAGGCCTGGTTGGAAAGAGTGGCTCAAGGACCTGGCTTTCCCCGAGTACACCACCTACGTAGCCAGGCTGAACAATAAGCTGGACGACGTCCCTACCAAGGGGGCGGGAAAGAACAGTTCAAGGGACAGGCGAAGGGTGGCAAAGGAACGGGCCCCCATCGCAAATAGGGGTGCCAACGGTGCGCAAGGAGAGAAGTTTCACTTCAGCTCCGTGGGGATGGTCAGCCTTACCTCCCACATCCCTCAAGAGCTCCTGATGATTTTACTGCGGGGCCGAGGTTTCCTGGTGAAGCCACTTTGCCTCTTCCTGCAGTCCGGGGTGGGCGCTTACGCCCTGCAAGCGCCGAATCCAATATCGCATCGTGAAACATTGAATGCTATACAGAAGCGAAACAAATTGAACTGGAAAGCGTTATGAACCATACTCAGATTGGGATACTTTGCGTGCAAGAGACCTGGCGGTCGAAATCAGGCGCCTTTGTTATTGAGAATGGCTCCTCGATTATCATATCTGGCGGGGCAGAGCACGATTCAGAGCGTGCTGGAGGAGTAGGGCTCCTGGTAGCCCCATGGGTACGCAGATCGGTCGTGGGCTTTTGCCAGGCTGCATCCAGAATGACGTCCTTGAAGCTACGAATGCCTGGTGGGAAGGCCGTCACCTTCACCGTCTACGCGCCCCCCAGTGGCAAAGCCTTCGAACAGCGGCACACTGTCTCCCGCGATCTTGCAGAATTTGTTGAGTCCAGATCCGCCCATGGACCCAAGCTTGTGTTCGGCGACCTGAACGCAAAACTCTTTCGAAGACTCGACGGGGAGCATGATGTCGTTGGACCCCACGTGTTGCTCTGCCCGCAGGGGGACTGCAAGGAGGACGCTAATAGACACTTGCTCGTGGAGACGTGCACGCATCTAAGCATGTGTTTGGCGAGCGCATTCTTGGACGTTCCTCTGGATCGCCTGGCGACGTCCTACAACGTCGGCACCCCGGGGGCGCGGATGTTGGATGGCAGACGAACTCGCAGATCGCTTTTCTCGTGTGCGAAAAGTTAACGGGCGAAGAACGGTATAAAATAAACTTTTTCGCGGTCGAGGGCGCCTGTCCCTGGGCGGCTGGGAAGTTTATACCCTTACGGTGGCACCGTAGGGGTATAAACTTTCCAGCCGCCCAGGGGCAGGTGTCCCCGACGGCGGCAACCTTATGTTATACCGTTCTTCGCTCGCTGAAAAAGAGCTGGCTCCATAAAATCAGAACTGTGCCTGCGCGCCGGGAGGTGCTGTTACCCTCCCACCGTTTCCTGATGCAGGCGTCTGTGCTGCTAGACGTTGACAAATGTGACCGAGAACCTGCGCGCCGTCGAGATCGCAGCCTTCTCTCGCAGCCGCGGGCAAGACGTGATCTGGCCATGCACTTCACAGACTCTCTGGAAGCATTTGAAGACGAGGCGCCAAACCAAAATGACGTGAACTTGGTATTGTGCCGCTTGGTTGACAATTCCAAGCACGCTGAAGAATGCTCCCTGCCGCTAGAGACCCAGAGAAAACGAAAGCGTTGGATTAGCCATGATACCCTCGAGCTGATCAGCACGCGATCGCAGGCCAGACTCACCGGCGACGTCGTGCGCGAGAAAAGAAGCGGCGAAGCACATCAGAGCATCGGTCGCAAGGGACAGGGCTCGATGGCTAGAAGAGCCAACACAGAAGGGCGCAGATCGTTTGGGTTCGTCTGGGGGGGCAGCTCTGGAGAAGGCACCGAAATCGCCGTCAGGGGGGTCACGCAGGGGGGATCGCCAACTCGCTCTTGACGGGCAGGGTTCGGCGGTCAACTCGGAGTCTCCGCGCCTTTGGCAAGAAAAGGCGGCAAAGCGAGACCACGCCGCCGAATTACATCAGGCGAACGACTCTCGCGGCCCAATCCACAGATGTTCGTTCGATGCGCTGGCAGGGCAGAGTGGGAGGACCATGCGAAGCGAGTGCAAGGGCATGTAGATCAGACCCGAGAGGAATGCATAGACAAAGGATGTGAGAGAAGATTCGGCCGTCTGCGAGTCGGTGGACCCTTCCAGGAGGGGGAGGCGCATCAGGAAGAGGCTCATAAGAGGAAGGAGGAGGGGGAGGAGAAGGCAAATGAAGAGAAGACGGAGCACGACGAGGGCCATGAAGGGAAGGAGGGGGAGGAGGAGGACGACGACGAAGATCATCAGGAGAAGGAGGAGCCCTCCACATTAACACATACACACTGATCGCTACATTGGGAACGCTAGCTAAGACGCATGTCAAAACATTGCCTTCACATGCTGAAGCCCCCTGTGCAAACCTAAACGAATCAAGCCATGGCTCAAGAATCGCAACGATACCAAGTCAATGGGAGCGACGATGATGTCAAGAGGACGCGAGCTGTGAGATTGCACAACACACAATGATCTGAAGTTCACGGGTCGGCACTGGCCTGTTATGGGAGTTTTTGTCTGCAACCGAGCGCTTTTCAGAGCAGGTGTCGCTTCCAACTCGATCCACGAACTGGCTCAACTCCGAGCGTTCTAGCTCGGTCTGAAAACAGATACATTACGACTCCCGAGCTAAAGACAGCAACATCACAATGCATCGAGCCCTACCTAACGGGCGATTGCACTAACACGCTTATGTCAAAACAAGGCTGTGTGTCAATGTGCTGAATGTGTTTCTGCATCTTCAAAGTTTGGGGTTCGAGGGATGTGAATCTGTGCGTGTTGCAACCACCCTTCCTAAAATTCAAAACTCAAATGCGCTTGGCGCGCTTGAAGCCCTTCGACGGCAGGGCACTGGAACTGGAACCTTTCACCTTGCCACAAGCGCTGCCGCTGGACTCGCTGCCATGCTGATACTTCTTCGGGGCTGGCGTGACGAGTTCCTCGAGCGGCGATCCCTCCGACTTTGCGGGGGTCTTCGTGGCAACGCTTGTGACTGAAGCAGGGGGAGGAGCACCAGGCGCCTTGAAAGGCGACGTACTTGGACTCACAGCGTGGGCGTGCAAGTCTGAAAACTGCTGCCAAAACGCGCGCGGCAGCGTGGGGTGCAAAGGCTGCCGCTCGGCCAGGAAGGCCTTCGCCTTGTCTGGCCCCTCGGGGCGGTGACGAAACACAAAAAGCAACTCGACGCCCTGAATGATCACGCTTGCCTCAGTGGCCTTCCTCATTGTCGTCTGGGCAACGGCGACGGCCTCACTGGTGATATCGTTATCTTGAACGCGGGGGCAGATGGCAAGCAAGCCAGCGGCGTCGGCGAAGTCCTTCAAGGTATCGTGTAAGGAGTTGTGGCTGGAGACCAGTGGCTGCAACTTATTCTTGAGCATCTGAGTGGCCATGGTCTCGTTGAAGTTGTCGTCTGAGATGCATGCTGACCAAGTAGGCGTGGCTTTGGCCGTGTCTTCGGTATGCTTGGTTAGGATTGCGGCCATCGCGTTCAGGATGATCCCCTCACACTTGGTGCTGAAAGCACCTGCAAGCGAGCACCAATGTCGGATCGAAGCGATGGGCTCGCCGAACTGCCACCCTTTCTTCTCGAAGTTCACGGCGACAGTGTTGTTGATGATGCCGTCCAGCTTCGTCAAAGCCCCATGAAGGACTTGCATGATGTACGTGGCATCCTGGCAGATAAAGGTCTTGTTGAACGTGTTGTCCCCACTGGATCCTTTCTTGATGATGTTCACGTCTGCTGCGGCCACCGTTGCGACCACGTCGGCGACCGCGCACTTGAGGCTCAAGATGAACATGGCGTCTTCGACGCTGGGCTTCGTGATGTTCGGATCGGCGTTCGTCACGCCAGGCACCTCCAAGTGCGTAAGGACGACTGCCTTGGTGAACCGTTCCAGGTGGTCGTAGGCCATGTTGTGGTTCAGCTGAGACAACGTCGCGAGGTCGCCTCGGCCCCTCGCGAAGTCGATCGACGCGAGATCCACGATGTCCTTGGAGTCAGCTTTGGGCACGAGGTGGGAGTACGCACAGATAGCCTCGCAGTCCTGAATAACGTCTCCGTGAACGATGCCCAAACGCACCTCGGTCTCAGAAATGTGTTCCATCTTACTCTTCAAAAATGCAGTGGTCTTCAAGTCGTACATGCGTTGCCCGACGTATTTGCAAAACTGTCCGAACATATGCGCCACATCATCGCCGTTGTCGGGCACTTGGATTACCGAAGCGACTTTCAGGAAGAACGGTTTGACACAAGTATGCTCATGATGGACCCTACTGAAGTTGCAAAGAGTATTCTCGTCGGCCTTCGGCGTGCTCTCCGAAACCTTCTCGCCGTCCAACCACCAGTCTGGATCAGCGAGCAAGAAGAGGTCCTGCAGGTATGAGATCATCTTGTCAATGACCGAAACGTTGTGATTGAAGTTCTTCAGTACGGACTCGCCCGACGATTCCTTGTCGAACTTCTCATGCCACGCGGAACCCACCCTGGACGCAGCGACACGGTAAAGCTTCTGGGCGTTCAGCGCGAGTTGCAGCATGCTGTCGACGAACGCCTTCAAGCGCGGCCTCATGGCGCGCACGTTGGAGTCGATCTCGCGGACGTACGAGTAGAGGTTGTTCTTCGATGCGAAAATCGCCATGGCCTCGGCATCCTTGCCGTGTGTCTTGGCCGACTGGCCTTGAACGACCTCGGTACCAGCCCCGTTCTCTCCGGTAGACACGACGTCCGCCTTGGAGGCCTCGACGGCTTTCATCAGGAGGCTGCCGGCCCATCCTTTCACAGTGTCAGTGTAAACGAAATTCCCCGTGTGCAGTAGCATGTACATGTTGGAGATCGTATTCGCCTACGGTTCAAACTCACAAGGCCACTAAATGGTCCAAACCTCTCGAAATCAAATGTTGAATCACCCCCTCAACCCCGCCACCTCGAAATCAAAGAAGGTGAGGGTGTTAGCAGCAGCATGAGCAGCACGATGCATCACGTGAAAGAAGGGGGACTGAGGGGGTCAAACGCGAATAAGAGGGGGTAGAGCGGACTGCGCCAGCATGACAATATACATATCAATTCATATCTCAAAAAGGGGGCAAGGTGGAGAATGTTGAACGGAGAAAGGAGGAGGAGGAGGAGAGGACGAGAGGGTAAAGGAGGCGGGAGGGAGAAGGATGGGGGGAGGAGGATTGGAAGGAGGAAGAGGAGGGGGCTCTGATAAGTGGCCCTGCAAGTTTGTTGTGCCCGTGGCTCGCCAAGCTCTCCGTGTTCGTCTCCAACGCGCTCGGCGACCAGCGCTGGAGGGCCTGCTGGCAAGCGACGGCCATCTTCTGGCAGCTCTCCAGGTACGGCGTGAACGACTCGACCGTGACGGCCTTGCCGTTATTGCCTGAGCGCAGGAAGGAGACGGCGTCGTCGAAGATCGGCTCGAGGTCGTGTTCGAAAATCTCGAGGCTGACGTCGAAGCCGTTTGAGGCAGCTTCGTCCTCAAGGCCAGCTTTGGCATGGGCGAGGGCGAACGTCATGAACTCTTCGCCAGCACGATGGGCCACCAGTGCCTTCGCCAGCTCCGCCCCTGGGGACTCCTCCTTCGCCATCGTGATGACGATCTTCCTGGCCCACCTCGCCGCGTTGACGCTGGGCCTCTCCCGCTCGTCCTTCATCGCGCACCTCGTAATGCAGACGACTGCGTTGAGAAGATCTCGGAACTTGTCCTCTGCAGTGTTCATGCCAACTTTAGCCTCCCAAACCTCGAGGATCTTGGTCACAGTCTCCACGGTTCCAGTAACGACCTGGCTCTCCATCCTCTTCACGGCTTCGGAGTCAATATTGAAGATGTATTTCGCAAGGGAGTCGCTCACCAACTTCTCGAACTGCTCGAGTGGGCGAGCAGACACACGTCTAGATATCAAATCCCTCGGCAGCACGAAGAGCTTGCGTCTCTTTGCCGCCGTTGGCTTTGCAGCACGCGTATCAGCAGCATCGTCGGCCCCATCCTCGTCCTTGACGACTACCGTCTTGCTCTCGACCGTGCCCGTCAACTTATCGACGTTCTGTGACACCGCATTGTAGCACTCGACGAGGTGGGTGAAGTCAAACTCCTCCATCGCATCGTAGATGCTCTTACCATCGCCAAGGTTCTTGTAGAACGTCGCGTACTTGATGATGATCTGCAAGTCGGCTGCTACTTGTAGTCCTTTATGTTCCATGTACGGGTTGAGCTTCGACATCTTCTCCAGGATCGGAACCAGGGCAGTATCTGCGTTCTCGTCAAACCACGCCTTGAACAGCTTGAACATCTGAATCAACGAGCTGACACGTACAGATAGCTGAGAGAACGCAACCTTGATGTCCACATTGGCTTGTTCTTCGATCTCGGCTTTGTGTTGGTTCAGGCGTCGTTCCAATGCCTGCACCGTCTGCACCTTGAAATCTGGGAGCCAGCCAAGCGATCCCGTACACTCCACGTACGAGTTGATAGTCGCACGGATCCGCCCGATACTGATGAAGAGTTGGCCCTTGGGCAAGCGCTCATCGACAGAGAACTTGTTGACGGCACTCTTGGAACTCTCATCTTCAGACTGGTCGGCTGGCTCAGGCTCGACGTTGCCCAACTCCGCCACGGTCGAATCGGGGCCGTTGGTCTGCATGCCTTTCGTCCGCGAAAAGCCAGAGCGACAGCTAGTCTCCATGACTGGACTCAGCTCGGGATGGGGGGTCTCGAGCTCCTGCTTGACACCGCCACCGTTTGCAAGGCCACTTCCATGTACTTCGTCAGCTCGTGTAGGTTCTGATGCTGGAGGCCCCGAAGCAGCTTGACCAGGGCATTCTGGGTGGCCGCCAGAAACATCGATCTCGCCATAGCGGCCAGCCAACTTGGTAGCAGCGTCAGCCCACTGGATGGCCAGCTCTTCCAAGGGCACGGTCGAATCGCCGTCCGCACACACATTGCGAAGCGTCCTGTAGCAGTCCACGACTTTTGGCCAAAACTCCTTGTCGCTGTCGGACGGAAAACGGACCGCGCCCAATGGACCCTCCAAGGGCGTGGAGACCAACTGCTTCAGCTCAGCGCAGTCCTGGCACACGGTACGGTCACTGGACGAAGGGCAAACTGCGTTGACAGGCGTGCCAGGCTCGTTGCCGACGAGCAAAGTGACATTGCATCTGATGCAAGTACGTTGCTTTGCACAATCTGAGTGGCCATCATCCAATCGTTCGCTGCCCTCATCGTCGCAGCGCTCTCTATCGCACGAGGGCGTCTGGAGGCCAAACAGTTGATCTTCCAGGATTTGCTGCTCCTCCTTCGTAAGCAGCGTCGCCATCACACACCGACCAGAGCGAACTTAGCAGAACTGGAGGGAATCACAGCTTGATTAGCACTCAAGCTGTCGTGCCAAAATGGCTGTGGAAGGATGGAGGGAGGAGGAGGTTACAGGGACACACGGTAGATATTGCGTTTGTTTCGGGGGTCTTTTTTGAGCCGCATCGGAGATGCCATGTCGTATCGTTGTGTGTTTTATTATTTGGTATTTCGGGCATATCTTGACATTTCTGCTCCCCCTTTTGTTTCGAACAGCTATTGATTTTGAAAGTTGACGTTGCTTGTGGGCGATACATGCTGCATGAGCCCATGTCCCTAATATTATGCCCTTCGTTGTTTTATTACCCTCAGGGGTGCCCCCGTGACATGACCAAGACAATCCTACTCACCCGAAGTGTCATCGTTGTTCTAGCTCTGTTTGGGACTTCCCCTTTATCATGTCTAGAGGCTGCCCTCCATCCCTGTCATCATGTAGATCCTATGCGCCCGTCAACTCTGGAATCCAGATCGGGCGCTTTGGGCGGCGAGCGCTGCCACGGCAACCCCGAGAGGCCGGTTGCCGAGGACCCCGTTTTGGAGGGGGGCGGGAGCAGGGAGGGAGGAGGTCAGGGGAGAATGAGGAGGAGGAGGAGGATTGCGCTCAATGGGGGAGGTTCGTTTGAGGTGGCGTTAATGGGAGGAGAGCTTGGAGGAACAATTCGCCAATGAGGCTGTAGAGGGCGAGGGCCAGGAGAAGGAGACGGAGCAAGAAGAAGGATCCCTCGGACGATGAGGAGGTGAAGAAGGGAAAGAGGAAGGGAAAGAAGGATTCGATCCTTCCCTCACGCAAGCACCCCCCCATCATGGTTCCCCCATCCGCAGCGCCAAATCTCAACAAGGAACCCTACTTAGAACGTATGCTTTGGGCTCTTTGTCATTTCAATCTTCGGCGATTGCACAGACTAGCAAGGGTTACTGACACAAAACTTTCGCGATGCTGATCAGCATTGCGCTGACGCGTGGCCCCGTCCCGAACACACATCTAGGCACAGAACTCTGAATGCATGCCGCACTGCGGTTGACAAAATGCTCATGCCATAGCAAGTGCGATTGGAGAGTACGACAGTGAGCATCGCACCTAGAGGCCATCACCACATTTCGCGACAGAGCTCAAATCGGGCGATCAACACTACCTGTCAGGAAGTACCCTGCAAAACCCACCGAACGTCAATGGTTCCTTCTTCTGCAAGGCCTTGAGGTTGCTCATTTTCACCAAGCGCGTGGTGAGGCGAGTGGCTTCCTGATCGAGCTCCTGAAGACGTTTGATCATGGTCTGCACTGCGTGGTGGTCGGTATCGAGCCTACGATGAATCGTTTTGACGCACTTCTGGACACCCTTGGTCACGTTATTTGCCAAGTCCTTCGCATTTTGCGAGTTCACTCCTGAGACCGAGCGCCCTGGCATGCTGAGAAGCGGCCGCGCGTAACTGATGAGATGTCATAGCGAAGATATGTCTCAAGGACGCAAAGCCACTTCGACCTGATTGGCCCGACGGAAAAGGCAAGGAGGCAAGAGCAAACGCGGAACCACCACCGTCGCTATTACATTTCAATCAGCCACACAACCCTGAGGGAGCGAAAATGCCAGGACGCACAATGCCTTGAAGCAGGATGGCTACTGACACTGCTGACCACAGTACTGCAAAGACCAGAACGTTAAGAACCCAATACGGACAATAGCTCAAGGACAGTTGTGGGGGGGCCGCGGAATGAGGCAACATTCGCTTACAATGTTCCGAAACGTGAGCACTCGCCGCGCAAATGGGTCGATCACGCCAGCGCTCTCCAGAGATACCTCACAGCAGGTTGCACCGCCCTGGGAGGCTATGAGAGACGTGGGCGCAAGCACGTGCCCGCCATTAGTGTGATTATTGGGATTGGGGGACAATGCAGCACGTGATCCTCCGACCCCTCTGGGGCCAGATGGCAAGCATGTGGGCAGCCTCTTGCATTCTAGAAAGTGCAAGGACTATCACGTCCCGAGGGCGCGCAACCCCGACACTGGCCCTGAAGCCCAAGAGTTAAGACAACCCCAGGATTGCACACCCCAACTGAAAAGCGGAACCCGCATAACAACGGGAACCAATTTCTAAAGGGCGGGTGGCCAATATGATTTCATGCGCTCGCGCGAAACGATGTCACTGCCACAAACGACGCCAGTGCGCGTGGCAATTGCCGCTTGTGCACCAATTGACGCACGAACACATATACTAGTTCGCGTCATCCCTAGGAGGGAAGACACGGTACCCCCCCCCCCCCCACCCCCCACCCCACCCCCGACGTCGGCATTTAGTTTGGACAGATGGCAGTCAACAGAATATATCAGCTTTAGCGTCGTGCCTTCCCAGGCCAGCGCACGAATTCAGTGTTTCAGCCCTTGCCCCCCATCGAACTGCGCTTGTCCAGCGCCATCGCCAAGTTCGTTTGTTTGGTGGGGATCGCGCGCGGACTCCAGTTGCTTGCGTGGGTTGCCCACAGCGCGAAGCGCGATAAACGGGCGCGCAGTCGCACAGTCAGCGGCATTTATGAATCATGCAGATCGCCCTGTCGCGCCTTCGACAATGCGCGGGCGCCTTGCGCGACCGCGTGCGCGGCGACTCGCATCAATCAAGTAGTTTCCTTTGGCATGCGCCTACATCCAGACATGGACAGGCTGGGGCTTTGCCCGCATCTAGGACTCGGGCTTGCGGGAAGTGGAGGGGCAACTCGCCCCGAGTCCAGGGTTGTGCTAAGCAGCGCCCCCCCCCCCCCCCCCCCTGAACGAACGCACGCGCGCGCGCCGCCGCCGCCACCGTCACCGCCGCCGCTCCCTCGCCTGCACCACAAACAGCTTGACGCTCTCCGCTGAGCTGGCGCTTGGAAGGGCGGGGGCAACGCGGCCTGGCTCGTCAGCGCGCCGAGCCCCCGTCGTACAATCACCGTTTCTGGCGCGACATCAGATGCGACCTCGCAGTCGTCGCGCAGTAATGCTCGCCATTGGCATTGGTTGAGTTGGCTGTCGCGCCGTCAAGTCCATCGCGCGCCGTCGCGCCATGGCACGCGCCGCGGGGCGGCCCCGCGCAGCTGGCGCTCTCGACAGCCGCTTTCGGCTTCGGCAGCGCGACGCTGCCCGCGCTATCCGACTCCGCGCGGGGAGGAGGGGGCGGTCAGCAAGGGCGCAGCCGCGCGCGCGTCGCCGACGGCACCGCGCGCGAGTCGTTCCTCTGAAGAGACCAGCGCGCCCATGGTGGGCTGGCAATGACCCTCAGGAGAGGAGCCACCTTTTCCGCTGCGAATCGCATTGGCGTAGTTGATGGGCGGGAGTGCATTGTTGGAGTGGACGTTCGACGTCGACTGTTGACGTTGACGGCCCGAGTTGACGGTCCGAGTTGACTGCCTGGTTTGCAGTCGGTATCAAAGTTGACTGCCCTTGTTGACGTCTTGACGCGCCGAGTTGACTGCGCCTCTTGACGTCTTGACGGGCCTAGTTGACTGTCGACGTCGACTGTTTATGTTCACGCCCCCTAGTCGACCCCCCTTATTGACGGCTTGTGGTGCAGTTAACTGCACGCTCCGTCTTCGCCGTTGCGAGTCGACCCCCCCCCCCCCCCCCCCTCGCCTTGCTCCCATGCCCGAGCCGCGCTCCAGCGCGAGCGGGAACGGCGGCGGCTCGCTGGCTGGCCACGCTAGAGCACCAGCGAATACAACGCAACGAATCATCAGAGCGACGGCTCTTCTGGCGCGTTCTAGCCAAAGCGGTCAACCGCTTCTGCTGGCGATGCGATTTCAACCGCGCGCGTCGCGGGCAAGCCCCAATGACAAACGCGCTGCATGCGCGCAATGGTTTCGGCGCACGATTGGCCGCCGCGAAGAGCTAGGGTTTGTCATTACGGCAAACGCGCCTGATGCGCAAGCAAAGGCAATGCTGCGGTCCAGAAGCCACGCGAGCGCCACGCGCTGACCTAACCGACGGGCGCGCGATGGCGCCGTGCCCACTCGGATTTGGGCGCGGTTGTTGCTGCGTTCTCTGCGCGTTTGCTTCCCGCGCGTCCACCCTTCGTTTCGCGGGCGCCGCTCTGCCCGCTGCGCGCGCGGGCGCCGCCGATTTGTGCGCGATGGGCAGCCGAGGTCTTCAAAGTGCAGCCCCGCGCGCGCGAGCGCATGCAGCAGGTCGCGCGCGCGAGGGCGGGCGCGCGGAATGTTGGCGCGCGCGCCGCGAGAACGCTGGCATGCGACTGAACGCGCGGGTTGGCTGTTGGGCATCCGCGGCTGGCCGCGCGAACCCTCGGTCATTCGGTCGTTGCAATTTCGAGCGGCGCGCGCTTGAGCGGGCTATGTCATTTGCCTTTTGAAGCGCAATGGATGAGACGCATGTCGACTGCTCGCGCATCGGCATCGCTCGCGCTGCGACGCGGCGATGCAGTTTCTTCGTGATCGGAGTGGCGTTAATCCGAAAACCCAATAGTGAAAACCCGATGTAGTAATTCATTCTCTGGTCAGAAGAGGGAACGGTCCCTCTGCGGAAATGAGACAACCCGCCTAACGCGCAAGGGGAAGCGCTCGCGCCCCGTCGCTGCACGTGCAGAGTTGACACATTGGGAGCGGCGTCCACGCGGAAACCCAATGGTGAATACCCAAGGTGAAGATGCATTCTTTGATCGGCAGATGCAACCATCTCAACGTGGGACGTCCGAAATCATATAATAGCGCAATGCGAAACCCTCTGCGACGCAACGCATGCGCGTTTCATGCGATGGGCTGGCGATGTTATCTCGAAAACCCAAATGGTGAAAACCCAATGTGGAACTACATTCTTTGATCGGACAAGGGGCCATCTCAATGTGGAGAATCAAAAAATGAAGGCGCAATGTGAAGCGCGCGCATTGGCGTCGCTGCGCAACGCATGCTGTTTTCATGAAACGACGGCGATGTTAACCCAAAACCCCATGGAGAAAACCCAATGTAAACATTCATTCTCTGATC